GATCCATCCCATGTTGCCCAAGGTTTTTCACTAAGTTAACGAATTGTCATCTGGCTGACATTAACCCTCCTTAGGAATGCTTCCGTTCCGCAGTATTTTCGTTAAGTACTAATAGGACGCTGAAGGCCTTCCCTCGGGTGAATCCTTTAGTCGCCTTTTATAACACCCAAGAAGGGATGAACGAGATGGTACTATTCTTTGCATACAGCTACATTATGTTGACTTTATACAACAATAAAAATAATGTCCTCCAGACCGAATTTAGGTCACGGCGTACAGACTCAACGTAGACCAGCCATCGGCGCAGAACAGGATTACAATTCCCAAGTGTATGCGCAGACACAGTTGATCTCTCTATTTCCTTACTCTCATTGTCCGATGGTACGGTAAATCGACATAACCGGAGAGAGATCAGGCGCAGGACCAACGTCTTTACGTGCTTTCCGAGGCACGGGCATAGGACACCGCCAACTGCCTTAGGTACTCCGGGCAGCTAATAAGAATTTCTTAATGCAAAAACTCAATAACTGATATTTTTTGACCCGGGATTTTAACCCGGAATCTCATGATCAGCAGTCACACTACTACAACAACAAACCAACGAGGCAGTCATAAAACAATACTAATTATGTAATAGTTACAAATGCTACGCATTCACAATAGCTTAAGATCCGGACGGAATAACCGGATTTGATGGGATCCGGATGGAATTGGGTGGGGGTTGCAACGTCTACAGTTTCAATAAAGTACACAAATGAAATTGGGTGAAACCTTAATATTACCGAGGGAAAATTAATAGAAAGAACAAACTGTTAAGATCAAAGCAATTAAGAGTTGGAATTGTGTTGTATATTTTAATGAGAAATATTTAAAAAATATTTGGTACCCCAGAATTTGACTGTATATACATATATGAGTCTTGCCCGTTGTGTATATTTACACTTAAAAAGGAAACCTTTAACGTTATACAAAAGATACAAAATAAAAGTTACTTCTGTTAATATTTACGATTTTTCTTCAGAAACTGCATAAAATACGTATGATAAACTATATTTTTTTGATAAAATATTTTTGTCATTTAAACTTATATTTTGCAGGATAGGTCAAGCTAAAAAACACTGTATAACGTTCAAATTAAGGTTTAACCATGCTGGAAAACTGTAACAAAGCTTACAGTATTTTGCCGTAACAAACTACGCGCACTGCTGGAGATACAGTGTTTTAAACTGACGCCTATACTCGCACGTTGATATTGGGTCGCCAGCGTAATATGATCTATAAACATGAATGCTATCTCGCTCTTTCGCATCGTTATAGAGGCCCCCCCGCCTTCTCGGCAAGTTTGAAGACGGTTCAGTTTACGTGTGACGCGCAGTGATACCGGTGATTATGTGATTTATTGTGTACCTACCCTGTGATCGCCTGTCGTATTTTATTTAATTACCGTGATTTTGTATTAATTTAACTATGAATACGAGTCAAAGTAAAATGCTAGTTAGACTTTACAAACAAAATATTAAACATTATAATAACACAGACTCAGTTACTGTTGTGTCCAATATGATAAGTGACTGTCTAGAAAAAGAAAATAGAAACCGCAATAATCACAATGAGTATGAAAATTACCTTCAAGATGATTTAGGATCAAGAAACTTTATAAGTTCTATCATTCCATTAAGTGAGTCTCAACTTAATGAATGCATTTCAGAAGAATTAGGAGAAAGAGTTTACGCCCAACTGGTACCTGCATTAATTTGTGATAAGAATTTAGACGTCTCAAATATTTCCATAGAAGATTTTCACCAATCCACAAGTTCGCATATTCATGTTACTAGCGTTCAATCTAAAACAAAAATCCAGTCAATAAAGAACCAAGAACACATTGCTACTGGATCGATAAATAATTTAGATGAAGATGATTTCGATACTTTGAATCTTTTGACTGTGACACAAAACATAATATCTACTGAATTATCGACTGAAATGCAACCAGCACCTTGTTTAGCACATTCTTCAACACCTTCAGTTTCGCCAAAGCCGTCTACTTCCTTAGCTCCTGTAAGTCCTATTGCACATATTGAAACAGAACTGCTGACAAGAAAAAAAAACGTAGCTTCCTTGAAGAATCCACCGCCATTGATAAACCTGCCGTCGAAGATAACTGTCAAACACCAAAGAAACCTAAGCGCAATAGAGACCCAGCAGCTATATCAGAGACACAAAGATTAAAACATCCATTGTTGCCACCTTGTTCATGTAAAAAAACAGTGCATTCAAAAGATTTTTGAGACTGAAAGGCAGTCTATTTCGACACAATTTTGGAACTTGGACCGGCAACGGCGCCGCGACTTTATCAAGAAGTGTTGATAAGCTATCTACCGCATGCACTAAAACAAAAGGTGATTCTCGAAGGCATAACACACTAAATTGGTCCCTAAATGATGTCAATGTATGTAAGTTTTTTTTTCTTAGGACCTTGGGATATACAAACGATGAAGCTGTGCAATCAGTCTTGAAAAATAACTATCTAGAGAATAAAAATCCGAAGATAAGCGCTACACCCGATCTTCGAGGACGTCGATGTCCACCATCTAACAAGTTTCCACCGGAGTATGAAAAACGATTAGAAGAATTTATTATGAAATACAACCCTGTTCCATCACATTGCAACATTAACCATGCGCCGAAGCGAAAGTATTTGCCTATAGGTATAAACTTTTCAACTATACAGGGATGTCCGGTTTCCGATGTCCGATACTTTAAGGGGTTAAAATACAATTAATTTTATCGACAAATCAGGGATCAATGATTTTTTTCGCCATCAATAAAAAAATGGCAGCACTTTAAAAAAATTGTTGGCGAAGCATAGATGCTTGTATTAATTTAACAATATCTACCCAAGTAGAAGACTTTCAAAAACAAAATTGGTCTCAAATGTTAGTTAATAGTGTAGACAATAAATCTAGATTCAAAATATTATTTTTTAATTTTTCAGTATTAGTAAAAAACATTTTTGGAAAAATAAATTAGACAACAAATTGATGTTGTTTTTCAGATTCTTAGCTTTAAAAAAAACCATCGTGTTAACCAATTTTTTTTTACTTGTTTTTATTATAATACAGGATATTTGCTATAAATGCACATTTAAATCTTAACTCTGAGTTAGATAGTTTAGGAGCTATGATAATTTGAATGTAACTGTTCAAAGTGCCTCTACCCCGATATTAGATAACTAAACACCCATTCCAGTGAGTAAGATAAAATTCTTCAATAATTCAAGGAATCGTAAGCAAGCACAATAGCATCCTTTGTGTGATCAGGTAAAAAATGCTGTGCACAACAGTGCGAGCGAGACAGAATAACGGCTGTCTCCAGGTAAAAAGGGTGCAGTGTGCGCTTGTGCCGTCGAGCAGTCGTCCCTCGCTCTGCGTTGTGATAACATTCCTGGTTTTAAGTAAATCTACTTACTGTACATAATTATTGTTTGTTGTTAGACTTTGTTACGTTTTTGTTTTGTTGTTGAACTGTTACAGCGATATGCTGGCTTGAGTACTCGTTCATTGTAATAAACAAAAAGTAACAGTTCAACAACAAAACAAAAACATAACAAAGTCTAACAACAAACAATAATTATGTACAGTAAGTAGATTTACTTAAAACCAGGAATGTTATCACAACGCAGAGCGAGGGACAACTGCTCGACGGCACAAGCGCACACTGCACCCTTTTTACCTGGAGACAGCCGTTATTCTGTCTCGCTCGCACTGTTATGCACAGCGTTTTTTACCTGATCACACAAAGGATGCTATTGTGCTTGCTTACGATTCCTTGAATTATTGAAGAATTTTATCTTACTCACTGGAATGGGTGTTTAGTTATCTAATATCGGGGTAGAGGCACTTTGAACAGTTACATTCAAATTATCATAGCTCCTAAACTATCTAACTCAGAGTTAAGATTTAAATGTGCATTTATAGCAAATATCCTGTATTATAATAAAAATAAGTAAAAAAAATTGGTTAACACGATGGTTTTTTTTTAAAGCTAAGAATCTGAAAAACAACATCAATTTGTTGTCTAATTTATTTTTTCAAAAATGTTTTTTACTAATACTGAAAAATTAAAAAATAATATTTTTAATCTAGATTTATTGTCTACACTATTAACTAACATTTGAGACCAATTTTGTTTTTGAAAGTCTTCTACTTGGGTAGATATTGTTAAATTAATACAAGCATCTATGCTTCGCCAACATTTTTTTTTAAAGTGCTGCCATTTTTTTATTGATGGCGAAAAAAAATCATTGATCCCTGATTTGTCGATAAAATTAATTGTATTTTAACCCCTTAAAGTATCGGACATCGGAAACCGGACACATTGTATATAAGGATTTTAAACGGTATTGCCAAGAAAATAATACGACGATTTGTGGTTGGACTCATTTTCATACTATGATAAAAAAATTGAATCTCTCAACAGCAGAATTACCTCAAGATATATGCACTAAATGTAAAAATCATAAAGTAGCTCATGAGATACTACCACTTCTTTGTAACTGTGAAGAGTGTAAAATGATAGGCCAGCACTTAGAAAATAAACGCAATTCACGAAGAGATTTAAGTTTAGCAGAAGATCGAAGGAAAGGAAGCTGTGTTCACCGTCGACATGCAAAAAGCTATATGCATGCCACTTCTTAGAACAAAAGATTTTTTTCAAGAAAACTTGTTCTATTTAACGAGTGATTTGTGCCGCCTGGTAAAAATAAAAATGCTGTATGCATCCTGTGGCATGAAGGCGAAAGCGGCAGGAAAGCTTACAACATAGCAACCACATATGTTCATTTCATAAGAAAATATTGCAGGGACTTACACCATTTAAACTTCTTTTTCGACAATTGCAATGCTCAAAATAAAAACAAAATTCTTTTTTCTGCATTAGTCAGAGTTGTAAACGATAGAAAAACTGATATTCAAACATTAAAAATAGAATATTTTGAACTGATGGCCAGTTGGCCCACATTCATGGCTCCGGATGCAGTTCACGCTGCTATAACAAAAAAATTAAAAACATCAGGTGATGTTGATGACATTGAAGACTTCGTTACAAATATCAAGGAGTCAAGAAAAAACCTTGATGTCGACGTGCTGCAACACAAAGATATGGTACTTTTTACGAATGACTGTAAAACTACACTTCCAAAAGACTGGAACATCCAAAATTTAAAAATTATTGAGTTTCGAGGAGGTAAACTCTCCATGTTTGCCAGAAATGATTACAATGGGGAATTTAAAGAACTACATATTTTAAAGAAAAAGGTTGAAAGAGATTTAAGAAAGAAAATGGGTGAAGAGCTAGATCTTATAAATATGATGGAAAGAGAAAAAAAGCCAAGAGGTGTGAATGAAGTTAAAAAAAAGGAATTACTAACACTTGCAAAATCTATGCCTGTATCGCGGTGAACTTTTTATGAAGCCATTGAGGAGTCAGATGCGCCTGATCTCGATATACATATTGATTCTGATTTGTAACTCAGTCATATCACAAATCAGAAACAATACTTGTTTTTTTTTCATTAAATGATGAATCTCATAGAAGACTAAATATGGTTGTGTTTATATTGTGTAAGTTCTTAAAAAAATATTAGAAGAATATGTTGTTTCGCAAAATTTTTCTATTATGTTAATTTTATAAAAAAAAATATTGTTATGTTTCGTCAAATGTTACAATTAATAATTATAGTTATGTTCGTAAAAATAGAAGACTGTGTTATGTTTCGCTGGATGTTTTTGACTATTAATGTTTTATTTTATAAAAATATTAGAAAACATTGTAATTAATGATTCGTCATTAAAGTTTATGTTATATAACTGTATTTGATTTTATTTACAAAATTTGACAAATAGCTGCCTAATAAAGTATCTACCTACATCAAAACATTTTGTTGGTCTTTTTAAAACACTGTATGATTGGATACAGTGTTATGGCATAATTATTTACCTACTTTTAAACAAGACAAAACACTGTAATTAGTTTTACAGTTTTTTGCATTGTTATAGTTGTACTTAAACTTGGCAACTCTGTCTTGTCAATACAAGTTAATGGAAATATCTTTTTATCTTACAAAATTTATGAAAAAAACACTAGTTGGCTATGTAGTTAGAGATATATACCTACTATTGAATGCATAAAATAATACAATAATGAACAATAATCAATAAAAAAAGCAATTAAGTATCAAAAACATATATCGTCTAAAATCTCACATGTGGTTTTCAAAAGTTACAGTGTATTGGATTGGCAGGGCAGTACAGTCCAACACAGTCAAGATGTTAAATGGCTACTACAGCCTATTGTTACCTACAACCAACTCCAAACAATAAAGCCTTGATGCTCTGTCACCTCTTTGGACTAAGATGAAATACTTCCCGTCTATAAATTTGCTGGCTCTCTGTGATCCTCAGACCAGAATACTATAAGCATACGTACTGCTGTTTAGCGGCGAAAATAAATAAGAAGATAGAAATAAGTAGAGGTACCTACCCAAACGGGCTCTTTGTCAGAAAAAGAATCCTATCAAAAATATAACTCAGTAAATAGTATAATGCGTTCTGCACACGCTGCATCATAACCTCTTTTAACACCAATACGTTGTTGCGTTAATGACCATGTAGAATTCCCATTATAATTTTTTAAATTGTAATGCATATGTCATTATCCTCATTAGCCCATCAAGATCCATTACTGAACATGGACCTTACTCGGTAAAGGATAAATTTTCCCTAATAATAATATGTAAATACATAAACACTCACGCCTGTCATCTGGCCCACAAGGGTAGGCAGACACTACGGACTTCCATTTGGCATGATCCTGACACACCTCTCTTGTTTTCTTTACATCCACATTACCTTCGCATTCATTCTTCAATATATTGTCAATTTGGTCGATAAACTTTCTTCTAAGGCATCTATCTCTTCACGACTCTGCAGTTTATTTCTGCAACATACATGACATGGCCAAAAGTGCTCTAGGCTGTACAAATATAAAACTGTTGCTACTATATTTTTTTTTAAAACAAACAATGAATTTTGAATAGCAGTTAATGTTCCATAGCAGCTGTTAAAAAATAACAAAGTTTAAAATGTATTTAAAGTGATTTCTTCTGTTTGAAGTCATCTGTTGAATATCATAAAAAGATCAGAGTAGGGAAAAAAATAACTTAACACATAAAAATACTTTTTTATGATATTATGTTATCTATAAAAACAAACCCTCTATTAATGAATTAATAGATCAAAATTATCAAAATACACTGACGTAAAGGATTTTATTTATTTACTAGCTGTGCCCGCGACTTCGTTACGGCTCCAACGATTTTCATAAAATTTAGTGTCCAGGGAGTTTTGGGGGCAATAAATCGATCTAGCTAGGATTTATTTTTAGAAAATTTCTTTTTATCCGTGTTTTCAGGCAATGAAAAACTGCTACGATATAAGAAGGTAAATCTTGACAATGTGTTAATGATGGTAATAGCTCAAATGGATATCGAGCGGTCGCGAAACCTTAATGCCTTGGTTCGCGTAACCAGTTCAGTTTTTTCTATTATGTCAATAACATCAAAAAATATTATTCATCAGTATGTAATTTGTATCTTAATGTAATTTCAAAAAAACCGAGCAAATCTCGGTCAACCGGGTACTAGACACTAGTCTGAATAAAAACATTCAGTTAGTCGGTATTATCGTACTGTGATTGCTCTATACTCAATTTATATTGCAGTACGCTATTTTATTGCTGATAATGATTAATTGCATAAGCAAGAGAGCAAGTTCAACATCCGCTCTCACACTTTTATTGTTTTTAACAATTGACCTCCTTATATGTTTCTGACATACATATGAATGTGTTTATAAGACCAGATAAATGCATTTTGTAAAATTTCTTCATTGTTTGTCTTCATACTTCTGCCATTAATAAAGCGAAAATAATTTTTATATTTAATAGTGTAGAATAGTTTGATTTAGGAAAATCATATACTCCCCATAACTGACTATTCAATTACAGCGAATAATATACTAGATAAGTTGGTCATATTCTAAAGCTTTTTGCTATAACTTTTACTTGTAATATAGCAAAAAAATTAAATTATTTTCTAAAGTTGTTTCTTGTGACTCTTCATTTTAATTGATCTAACACATTCGATCTTGAACCATAAGCGCGATTTACCACCGATGGCTGCCTCAGTAAAGGGAATGAAATACTTCGGCGCTTAACGTGTCACATTGCATTCGTGCAACTCTATGGCTCTTCAGACAAGAAAGACCTGCAGCCGAGAAATTCTGTATTGCTTCGCAATTTGTTGACTTGCATCGCCACATTCACCGCACACCTTGAAAATTGTAAGTAGATAGAGAAACACAGGTTTCGCCAGGCAGCGGTCACGAGTTCCCGAGGAAAAGGTAACATCGTACCTGTCCTAGATCGGTCATCAGTAGAATGTCGAACCAGTAGGCTGTATGCTTATCCACATAGTGTCACTAATCGCTTGTTTTACGATGTAAGAGTGTAACTCTCTCAGACCGTGGTCGGTCTGATATGGGAGAAGCCAGTCCTGATGACAGGCATTATACACCTCCAGAAAAATCAACTATACAGTACAGTACCGATTTAGGGCCACATCAAAGACGTCACTGGGGTGATGATTTCTTATATTTACACATTGATTAAAACTACCTTTAGGGATTTTATCGCGTTTAATTTTACTTTCGATTACTTTTATTTTTAACTCGCGACGTTTCGGGCGCTTTCAAGCACCCATGGTCACGGGGGACTGAGATGACTGACGTCCCGATGTCATTGTTAAATCCGGAGTACCTTCTGCTTTTTTAATTATTAGATCGGACCATATGCAATAATTAAAAAAGCTGAAGGTACTTCGGCTTTAACAATGACATCGGGACGTCAGTCATCTCAGTCCCCCGTGACCATGGGTGCTGGAAAGCGCCCGAAACGTCGGAAATTAAAAATAAAAGTAATTAAATGTAAAATTAAACGCGGTAAAATCCGTAAAAGTAGTTTTACTCACTGGGGTGCTTAAATAATCTATATGTATCTAGATCATCACTTTGATGTGAGGTCGGTAGACATGAATGAATAATTTTATCCATTCAAGTGTATATCAATACCCAAATCGTGGAAAAAAGTGGTCTTCAAGATGATGGAGACACAAACTCCGGCGTGCTGATGGAAATTATGGTCTAATGCGTACGCAGGAAAGTCAAAATGTGCCTTATCTAAAGGACATCTGGTCTGATTCTCAGTTGGTTTGTGGTATTTGCGTCTTGTTAGTCTCAAGTAATAAACTGCGTTGAGATTGGCCATGTGTTATGGCTTCCAACGAGTTCACCGTCGGGAGTCCACTCAATGAACTGGAGCTATGGTACGCTAGAGCGCGCTTGACCATCGTATACCACAACGATAGACTAAGCGCCCCATCCCCATCGTTAAAGATTTCAAAGATATATTGAATAAGGTATTTTTTATTACCATATGTCTTTCGTTGATAAATTGATATTTTTTAATTTTGCTTTCCATTATTTCGTATTGCTTTTTAAAGTGAGAACTTCTTTACAATCGTCGTGATTTTAAACTCGATGAAACGAAAAGCGACATTAAGAAGAGACAGACATATACATTTATAAATTTAGCCTGCGAGAGAATGAGATAATACAGTATACAGTGAGAATACAGTATACATTCCTACGGTCTCCTCATTGTGCGGTGCTTTATGTCGCCAACATAAAAAAAAATTTTCTTGACATGGGACTGACATCATTTAAATCTTTTCAGATTTTTTATATTTATTTATAGGGTAACAGACAAAAACACAGTCTAACTGATGGTAAGTGGTTGCTGCGACCCATAGACATCTACATCAATCCTCGATCACGAATCAAAAAGCAGATGGCCCGTGAGGACTAAGATGAAATGCCTCTTTTCCAGTAAAAAAGGTCTCCAGTTCTCTACATTCACCATACGAAATACAGCAGCGTTACTATATATATACGTATACTACCAATATAGCTGTAGCATGGCTCTACCACATATAAAATATAGAACGAACACATCTGAATTCTAAAACAGTATCGACTATCGCGAAAGTGCAAACATGAAAGTTCAAAGTATGCAAAAGTTTTACCGCGATCTGATGAACGGTATGGCAGCGCATAAAATAAAAACAAACAATTATTTTTTATATATTAGATAAGGGTGACAAAGGTGCATACAGACCACCTGATATTAAGTAGATAATTCGGTAAACATATACATATAAAAAACTATAAGCATCGAATATAGAACCTCTTCGTTTTATTGAACTCAGTTAATAATTCGCCATAACAGCGTCGGATGTCAGTAAGGTGCACTTTGATGGAGAATTAGTGCAATCGCTGTAAAAACC